CTTGACTAAAATGATGGCAGCAAGACTGTTTTAATCATTCAGAATAAACTAGGTTATAATGTGATAAAACATCCACAAAATTATAGAGGTTTAAGATAACAAGTGTTTATTTCTTGCTCATGGGAAGTCCACTGTAGGATTTCCAAGCAGCTGTCCTTCGTGTGTTGGCTCAGCATTCCATGCTGTTTTGATTTGCTATTACTTCGAAGTTAACAAAGGTTTCCACAATTAACATTGCAAGGAAGGAGAGACCACAGAGAATTGTGCACCAGCTCTTAAATGCTTTCACCAAGAAGTGACACAACTACTACCGCACACATTTCACTGGATGAAGCAAGTCCATGACTTCAAGAGAGTGGGAATAACTATTTCATGTGCTTGTAGGCAAAAGAGAATTAGAAATAGCAACACTTATGTTTACCAAATCACTTACTGTACTGAAAGCAAATATTCAACTTAGTTAACTGACTGACTGTATGTTGGCACCAGAAATGATTGATACTGGATCACTATCAGAACTAGGAAAGCCATGAAGCAGAGCTGGGTTGAGTATATTTTTAGAAAAAAAGAGTATTGAGTATGGTTCCAGAAATGCTCAAGAAACATCCATATAGTAAGGCCCTCAGGCACAGAAGTAATAACTGGATTTTTCCTTTAAAAAGGAAAGCAGAGGGATAAGGTTGGATCTTGAAGAATACATATAGGAAGCTGAAGGAGAAATGACCAGTGAGATCAAAAGAAAACCAGGACAGTGTATAACTGTGAAAAGCCAAGGGAGGAAAGAACTGTATTAAAAGTATTAACTTATGTGAAAGAAAATTTTGTAATTAGGAAGACATAAGTTATATCCCCAAAAATGTGTTTTGAGTAGTTTGATGGGACAGAAGCCAAATCACAGTAAATTGATAGAAAGAGGGAACAGCGAAAAAATCGTGCTTTAGGGTTTATGAACCTCTAGTTTAAGAAGCTGGGTTGTGAAATTAAAGAGTCAGCAGAACAGTAGTAACCAGCTCAAAGTTAAGGAGAAACTGTGGCCTTATCTTGCCCTGCTCTCTTACCCCCATCCCGCCCTGGCAACTATAGCCTAAAATCTAGAGAAAAAAAATGGGTAGGGATATATTCAAGATGTTGGATCAAGAAGAAATGATTGAAGAAACAGAATTTCAGAAAACTGGCAAAACTATGTTTTTCAAAGTCCCAGGAAAGTGGTTAACCTTGGAAAAGAGGAGGTAGATGCCTTGAGATATTAGAAATGAAGAAGAAACAGATAACAGGGAGGGGAGAAAATTCATGAAGGTGTCATTTAAGCTTCTTCATTAGTACTGTATAATAGAGGCATTTTAGTACATGGACAGGACAGGCTGGGCAAAGGCAGTTTTAGTGCTAATGAGGAAGGGCAGATTCAATTAGGAAATCAGTGGAGGTCATGCATCCACGAGCAATTTGAAAGAAAGCTGAAATATCGAGGCAGGAGAGTAAACAAGGTCCTAGCTGTTTGGACTGAGGTAGGAGAATATGTGCCATTAAAGTTTAGATGACAACTTCAAAATCTGCTATCTATTATTTGTTGGTAATTGCATCTGAGCTTTCATCATCTTAGCAACTTTGCAAAGTAGGTATTATTATTCTCATTTTACAGTTGGGTACTTTGTTTAGAGACAGTAAGCTGTAAGTAATGTATATGAGTTTGAATGAGGATTCCCCTAGATGCATTGGGCTTCTCAGGGCCCTTTCTCCTTTTACCAGGATCGGAAATCTATCAGTAGAAACTGAATGTATACACAGGCTCCTCTATATTATGCATGAATTTTTTCCTATAGGTATGTACTTGTCACTTCTTTTTCTTTTTTCTTTTTTTTTTTTGGTACGTGCCCCTAGCGGGAACTGAATCCGGCACTCTCTGGTCCGCAGGCCGAAGCTCCAACCCCTGAGCCAAACCGGCCAGGGGTCATTTCTTTTTCTAAGAATATTTTTTAAATGCAGATATTAAAAACTCTTAATTTTATTATATTTTTATAATCTTCACCCAAGAATATTTTTTCCATTGATTTTTAGAGAGTGGAAGGAAGGGAGGGAGGAGAGAGAGAGCAAGCTAGCTAGAGACATCAATGTGAGAGAGACACATTGATTGGTTCCTCCCAGATGCATCTGACTAGGACCAGGGATTGAACATACGACCCAGGTATGTGCCCTTAACAGGAAATCAACCCGAGAGTGACCCTTTGGTTAGAGGGCCAACGCTCTAATCACTGAGCGACTCTGGCCAGGCCTGCATACCTCTTTAAATAAAACAAAGCAGGCTGCAAAACAGCCAGTATATCACTAACTTCATCTTGCAGAAATCAAATAGCTAGTAATCTATGTATCTAAAAATCCTAGAAAGAACATATATCAAAATGTTAACACTTGTTATCTTTGGGTGGTGAGTTTGACATCTTATTTTCTTCATCTTATTCCTTTTTTGGTGTTTTTATTTAATTTTTTACATTTTTCTATAAAAAAAAACATACTTCTTTAGTAATCATACCCACTCCCCACCCCCGCACACAATAAATATACAATTCCATTTCACATTTTATGTAACAAATAGCAATAACATTATACAAATGAAAACGTCTCTCTCATCTGGACGATTGGTATAAATAACAAATGAGTTTTTCCCTTGCCCCTATAATAATTGTCCCAGTGCATTGTTGCTATAGTTGTGCAGAATGCTGTAATCCCAGTGGATCTCCATCCCTGGTTCATAAAACAAAACAAAACAAAACAAAACAAAACAAAACAAAACAAAACAAAACAAAACACAAAACACGCACAAGACCTGAGATCTTTGGATCTCAGCTGTGGCTGGAGAAAGCACCCACAGCTGGTAACACACTTTTGGATGGATGTACAGGTAAACCTCGCCTGAGATTTATCCGGGATCCCTCAAATCATCTCTGGACGCTCCTGTTGCCTAGTAACCAGAACCCTCTTCCCGGAGCTCCACCTCCTTCTTCTAGACCCCGCCCCCTCTCCCTCCCACTTCTCGGGCAGAAACGGGAGGGGGAGCCGAGCTCCTTCAGCCACTGAGAAGCCTCCATCGCCGGACCGCGAACGATGATTGGAGGAGTGCATGGGCGGTGCTTGGGAAGGGCCTTCCACGCCGGGGAGGAACGTCGGCACGTCGACGCGGGGGTTTTCTTTGGTCGGCCCCGCTAACCCTGCTCGGGTCTGTGGGTCTGTGCCGGTTCCTCCGCCGTCCCTGGCAAGGAGGGCAGTCGTTCTCCGCTCGCGGGCAGGCGCGATTATACTGGCTTTGTGCTGGGACTGACCGCCCTCACCTCCCTTCGGTTCTCTCCTCCGGGGCTAACCGCGTTGAGGCTCTTCGGAGCGAAGGCGGCTTCGGGACTCGGCCCGGGGCAGCTGGGGGCCCATCCCCGCTCTAGGCTCGGATGGGAGGTGGAGGGAGGAGCGGCCTGGGATGTTCAGTCTGATGGCCAATTGCTGCAGCTGGTTCAAGCGGCGGCAGGAGCCTGTCAGGTAGGCTAGAGCCGGCTGGCCCTCGCTTCCTAGGAGGTGGGGACAGCTGCGCCCCGAAGAGTTGGGAGGGGAGCCGCCTCCCCTCTCTGTGCCGGGTGGAGCCTGCCCCAGGCCGCGGAATTAGTCCCCGGAGCGAAGAATAGGAAGATGTAACCTTTTTGTCTAGTTGCATTTACATCTTCAACAACAGCGCTTATTATTGTTATAATTTAAATGGGTTCATAATACTTAAAAAGTTGTAGATTTTGTACACGCATGAGTGGAATTGGAAACTGCCTCTTGTGTTTTTTCCTGAAGTTTCTGTAATGGAATTTTTTTAAGTAGAGAAGCCTGGTATATAGTTTTCATAACACTCACACATCCCTTCCCAACAAACACACACGATTTTGAGGACTTACTATGGCTTGAAATCTGGCTCCAGCACTTCGTAATTACAGTGTATGACTGATATTTGTGGCCCCACCTTCCTCATATATTTAATGAGGGGTGATAATATCTATGCTGTAGGAGTGTTGTAGTAAATGCGAGTAAATGATGGAAAGTGTTTTCTTAAACTGCAGTGTAGCTTCAATTTTCTTACGAAGTCTAGTTAATCTTTTAATTGGTAGAGTCGAATTCTTAACTTTTATTTTGAAATGTCAGATGTATTAACATTCAGTGCCTGTTACTAGATATTCATTCATTTCTCAAAAAATATTTGTCAAGAAAATATCATATGCCAGGCACTGTGCTAGGAAGGGGTCAGGAAAATGATTGGGGTTTTTTTGTTTGTTTGTTTTAAATTGAGAGGTTCAACCTATAAAGAAAGTGTAAATTTGTTACTTTTTATAAATAATTCTGACTTTTATAGTTCTACTTTGGAATTAGGCCAAGGGTAAATTGTAGTAAAATTTTTGGATTTTTAAAATTAACATTTCAAACATAGCATTTGCAGTAATGATGAACTATCCTTTATTTTTATTTTTATTTTTTTGTGGTACGTGCCCCTAGCAGGAACCGAACCCGGGACTCTCTGGTCCGCAGGCTGGCGCTCAACTGCTGAGCCAAACTGGCCAGGGCTGAACTATCCTTGAAAGAATAAATCTGAAAAGCTATACTTGTACATTATAAGGAAAAAATATATGTCTACATTTGGAAAAGGAATTTGCTCTAAGCAAAACTTTTAAATTATTTTCCCTTTATTAACTTAACTGGATTTGAATGTTTTAAATATAAGTAACATGATTGAATGATAGAGCCAAAGATGTATTTGGGTGTATGGATTTGTTTTAATCATGTTCTGTGCTGATCAAAGAGTCTACTGAGATTTGAGGATCATTCTTAATAAATGGTCCCTTAATGTTTTTCTATCTCTGCATTTTAAAAATGTGTTTTGTTTGTGGAAGAGAGCACAATACCGTGTGTCCTTTTAACAAAACACTCAAAAAGCTTGCACGCCAAAGAAGTTTTCAGTTTAATTCATCATTCTTTGTGTTTGCTTCTCTTAGGTATAGTGTAACATCGGGGATAATTGTTTAAGCAAAAGACAGAGTTCAGAGAAAGGAGAATGTACTGATGTCCACGTAGCATCTAGATGTTTATCCAGTAGAGTAGTGACTAGCTGGATGTGGCTGGTGAGCATTTGAAAGGTGGCTAGTTGGAACTGAGATGCTGTGAGTATATAATACCAAGTGGATTTAGAAGATTTTTTATGCAAAAAAGAAATTAAGTAAATATCTTATGTCTTTTTTTAGTGATTACATTTGAAATAACTTTTGCTTATGGAGGATTGAATCAAATATATTAAAATGATTCCACTTTTTACTTTCACTTTTTAAAAATGCAATTACTAGAAGATTTAAACTAGAAAATTTAAACTTACCTATGTGCTTTACAGTATATTTCTATTGGACCTCCCTGATCTAGACCATGACGTAATATAGAGGGTATAGGTAACTCTCTCAGTGTTGGATAGAGTTACCTGTCAAAGGAATTAAAAACAAGTTGGATTACACCTACCTTTTAAGTATCTTTGTTCTGTTGCCTAGTTCACAATAGTGGTAAATAAATATTTGCAACATATTATTAGTAGTTTGATTACTCCTTAGCAATAATCACCCTAATGTAAATAATATTACCAAGCAGTTCTGTTTACTGGAATAAATGAGAGGTGATTAAACTGATTTAAAATCTATATCAAATTTTGTACTTTAATGATTTATTGTTTTGTATTTTATAAGTTTTTGGCTGTGCTGCTCCTTATTGAGTTTCCTTTTCATGTTCATATTTTATGGAGATATGTTTGCAAATGTGAAATGTGTGTGTAAGAGAAGCAGATGTTTATTAATACATTATGTTTTGCCCTGGCCGGTTTGGCTCAGCGGTTAGAGCGTCAGCCTGTGGTCCAGAGAGACCCGGGTTCGGTTCCTGCTAAGGGCATGTACCTCAGTTGTAGTTGGTCCCCGGCCCTGGTTGGTCGTGTAGGTGGCAGCCACTCGATGTGTCCCTTTCACGTCGATGTTCCTCTCTCTCCCTCCCACTTTATCTGAACAAAAAATGGAAAAATGTCCTCAGGTGAGGATAAAAAAAAAAAAACATTATGTTTTGCGGTTACTTTGCTGACTTATCTAATATATTCTGCACTTTTTGGGTTTATCCACCTGTCCTCACTTAGATGCTCTCCCAGTGAGCATATTATTCTAGAGAACAGGGATCAGGGGTTAGATGCAGTATTCAGAATGTGTGATAAGGACAAAGAGTCAGAGATCAAGTATTAAGGCACCAGTCTAGGTCAGGAGTCAGGACCAGGATGCCAGGCAGTTCAAGGATAACATGCATGCTATTGTTAACCACCAGTCAGAATCTGAACCTAGGCTTTCAATCTATGTAGATTAGTCTTTTTTTTTTTTTTTTTTAATATTTTTTTAAATTAATGTTTTGGAGAGAGAGATAGAAACATTGATGTGCGAGAGAAACATCAATCAGCTTGCTTCCTGCATGTCCCCTACTGGGGATCGAACCGGAACCTGGGCATGTGCTCTGACTGAGAATAGAACCAGGACCTCTCAGTCCAGGGGACGTTGCTCAATCCACTGAACCACACCCGGGGGAGAGGGCTGTAGATTAGTCTTGAGTAGACTTTATACCTAGACCCATAGTTAAATAAGTGTTTTGCTCCTGTCCAAGCAGTGCAATATAATGTGGGTTTTTTTAAAAAAAAACTTATATTTTGAGACCATAATATAGTGGTCAAAGCTAAGAAATTAATTTTGTACAGTACTATTAACTAAATTACAGACTTTATTCTCAGTTCACCAGTTTTAACACTGAATGCCCTTATTTTCTGTCCAAGATCTATTCTAGGATCCACATTTCTTTGTCATGTCTCATTCATCTCCCTCAGTCTGTTGTTTCTCAGTCTTTCCTTGTCTTTCATATCCTTGAGACTTTACAGAGTACTTCTCAGTTGTTTCGTAGAACACCCCTCAATGTGTTTGATGTTTTCTTGTGATTTGATACAGGTGTTGTTGCATTAATTGGGCAGAGGGATACCACAGAGGTGAGGTATCGTTCTCAGTACATTACATGAAGGGGTGTGTGATGTTGATATGTCTTGTTACGGGGGGGGGGGGGGAAGGGGGGTTAACCTTGATCACTTGGTATGGTGGTATCTGCCCAATTTTTTTTTTTTTTGGCATTTTTAATTTAGGTTTGTTTTATTTAAGTTTAATGTTAATTCCATGCTGTGTTTCAGTAAGAACAATACAGATTCTGTATCTGTGGCTCTAGTCAGATATCCAGTAGTACAAATTAGCTTCAAGTTACACATACTGCACAAATGAGGTTGAGCGAGCAAAGGGGGGTGGGGGGACAGGGAGAGGGAAGGAGAAGAAACAAAGAATTGAACACACATGCAGGCTTTTCCATACCACCCTTCAATGCTTACCTGCTTCAGAGGGAGAGTAAAAGTAGGCAAGAATGAGCAGCCACGGATTGTTGAACTGTTACCAGCACCATGCTTTTCAGCAGCATTTCAGCAGAGTTTGAAACACTCATTACAACAAACTCCCCAAACAACCTTTAACCACCTCAAGCTAACACCCAATTAATTTTAAACATTTGTATAAAATTCAATTTAAACAATTATAAAAAGGAAAAATGGTATCACATATGCCCCTATAGTGTGATTAACCTCTCTTTTAGATGCTTGCTTCACCTAGAAGTATAATGGCTTTCAAATGTAATTCCCATTTCTCATGGTGACCTTGCCACATCTGGCAGGAGACAATACAGAAATGCCGAAAAAGCCTCTATGCAGTCCTGTTGGTGTCTTAAAGAACCTAAAAGCTAGGACCAGTAAAATACACAGAAATTCACTCTTGCCTTTAAAAACTTTTGAAAACTGTTTTTAAAAAAACCAACAGAGCAGGAACCTAAATTCTGAGACCAAATGTAAGTCAGATTTGGTGGTTCTCATTGACAATGGGGGAATTTCCAAGAGGGGGTGGGATGGGAAGGAGTGGGGTGGTCAGAGATGGTTTCTCTTGTTGGCTTTGATGTCTCACTGATTTTCATCTTCCACATCCTGCAGCACTTCTTTATTCTGCTCTTCACCATCACCCTGCATGTCTGAAGTCCATAGTGTCAGATTATCACGTAACAACTGCATGATAAGTGTAGAGTCCTTACAGCTTTCTTCACTCAGCGTATCCAGTTCTGCAATTGCATCATCAAAAGCTGCTTTTGCCAACCTGCAGGCAAGGTCAGGGGAATTAAGAATTTCATAGTAGAATACTGAGAAATTGAGAGCAAGACCTAAGCGAATTGAATGCGTTGGTGGAAGTTCTGTCATTGCAATATCACTAGAGCTTTGTAAGCCACTAGGCTGTTCTCTGCAGCCTCCTTCCTGTCATTTCCTGTGGCAAATTCAGCCAGATACCTGTGGTAATCCCCTTTCATTTTATAATAGAAAACCTTGGACTCGCCAGTGTTAGCTGCTGGAATGAAGTATTTGTCTAGTACATCCAGAATGTCACAACAGATTAACTTTAGTTCAGTCTCAACCATTTGCCGATAATCCCGAATCATTTTTAGTTTGTCTTCTCCTCCCTTGTTTTCTTCTTTCGTTCAATGCTGCTGATTATTCTCCAGGAAGCTCTTCTAGCTCCAATCACATTTTTATATGCAACAGATAGGAGGTTTCTTTCTTCAACTGTCAACTCCACATCCATCCCTGCTACTTTCTTCTTTGATTCCACCATTTCGTCGTATCGCTCAGCCTGCTCGGTCAGCTTCGCCTGGTACACCAGATCCTCCCGATCAGCCATAGCAGCAGCGGCTCCGGCAGGGTCTGCGCAGTGGATGGAAGCGGATGGCGTCTCCGACTCTCTCAGCCTCTTGCTCCCTCTGCCCAATTTCCTAATATAAAGTTTAAGTCAAACAAATTCACATCTAAATCCTAGGAGTTTTGGCAATTATGTGTGTCAAGTGTGGATAATTTGTTTCTTTCAGAATTTTGAGAAAGAACCTTTACACAAGCGCTTGATGCTTCACTCATAGTACTTACTAAATAACATCTGTGAGCCTAGGAGACAAGTACCTTCCTCAACTCATCTTATACTTATTTTGTACTTTTCCATGTGAGTGGAGTAAGGGTCCATTTTTTTTCCTAAGGCTAGTTTTCATACTTGTGCTCTTTATTCCATTTCTCCCCACTTGCTGGTGAACTTCAGTTCTTCAGCATTTGGCCAGAGATCAAAGAGAGGACTTCTGGGATGTAAGAATAAATCCAACCTTTTTTTACATATATGATATTTTATTAATTTTTTTTAGAGAAAGGAAGGTAGAGGGAGAGAGAGAGAAACATCAGTGAGAGAGAAACATCAATCAGCTGCCTCCTGCAGGCTCCCTACTGGAGATTGAGCCTGAAACCCAGTGTGTGCCCTGACCAGGAATCAACTGGCGACCTCTTGGTGCATGGGACAGCACTTAACCAACTGAGCCACACCAGCTGGGCTAAATCTAAACTTTTATCCCAAAATGTATTGTTCAATTTTATTATCCAGACTAAAAAAATCTTTCTGTTTTGTTCTCAGAACTTTGCTTCTATTCCTTCTTTAGTACATAAACATGCTCATGCCCATCTTACTGTTATAGAACAGAAAGAGTTTGTCCACTCAGCGCTAGCAGAGCCAAAAACAGTAGACACTGAATTGGGGTGGTGAAAGACTATTTTATTAATGAATGGTGCCACCCAGGAGAACCGGAAGCTGATGTTCAAAAGCCTGAACTCCTTGATGGCATGTAGGTTATAGATGATATAAGGCAAATCACAAGTCAGGGTGGTGCTGGGAGCTGATTGTTTGGAGGTGCAGTAAGGGTAATGAATCATCTCTTTAGCTCTTGAGGGCAGCCCTGAGGTCTTTTTTGGCATCTTTCTATCTGGTCTCATGGGAAAGTAGCCAGAGGGTCATTCCACCTGGGGCTCAGGAACTGAAACATAATTTGGGTCAATGGTTAACCTGCCAGAGGTTTAGATCATGTGATAATTAGGTCTGGGCTACTGTCATCTGCTGCCTTGGGGGTTGCTGATTATTTAGGGGAAAGGCTGGGTCTCTGAGGGGTGTATATATAAATAGATAATTTATATAGCTAGGATTTAAAACTAAATTTAATCAAATTCATAAGGACCCTCAGTTTCACTACCTAAAAAAACAAGCCAAACTAAATTTTTTCTGTTGTTGCTGTAACTATTTATATTAGTGATTTCAAACAAAAATTTATCCTGTAGTTTTGACTTCACAAGTTGCATACCTTCTAGAGCAGTGGGTCTCAACTTCCAAATGCCGCGACTCTTTAATACAGTTCCTCATGCTGTGGTGACCCCCAACCATAAAATTATTTTTGTTGCTACTTCATAACTGTAATTTTGCTACTGTTATGTCTTAGGCGACCCCTGTGAAAGGTCATTTGACCCCAAAGGGCTCGCGACCCACAGGTTGAGAACTGCTGTTCTAGAGGGTGTAGGGGAGAATCTGTTTTTCTTTGCTTTTTCCAGTGAAGAAAGAGGACGTCTTTGCCTGGCTGATGTGGCTCAGTGGTTGAGCATCGACCCATGCACCGAGCGGTCACCAGTTCGATTCTTGGTCTGGGCACATGCCCAGGTTGTGGGCCAAATCCCCAGTTGGGGGCATGCAGGAGTGGCCAGTCAATGTTCTCTCTCATGGATGTTTCTGTCTCTCTCTCCCTCTCTCTCTCAAAATCAATACCAAAAAAAAAAAAAAAAAAAAGAGGCTGTCTGTGTTATTTGGACCATGGCCCCTTCCTCTGTCTTCAAAGTCAACAGCATAGCATCTTCTCATCTGATCTCTGTCTCTCTCTTATAAGGAATCTTGTACTTAAGTTCTCTAGTTACCCCTTTCCTTCCAAATGCCTTTTCTTCTTTGGCTGCTTCATATCTCAGCTGGGAGAATCTTTTCTTCAGGAAACTGTTTTTGAGTTCCAGCTACATTCTTTACCCTTTCATTGTATTTGCCTACCACCTTGTATTTGTCTCTACTTATCCATTATTGTATTGTAACGAAATGTTGACTTTTCTCTAATGCTCCAAGATATCTTTTTTTAAAAATATTTTTTCTTGCCCTGGCCGGTTTGGCTTAGTGGTTAGAGCATCGGCCTGTGGACCAGAGAGTCCTGGGTTTGGTTCCAGCCAAGGTCACATACATCGGTTGCAGTTTGTCCCCGCCCCGGTTGGGGGCGTGTGGGTGTCAACCGGATAAGCTGTCTCTCTCACATCGATATTTCTCTCTCTCCCTCCCATTCTATCTGAAAATAAATGCAAAAATGTCCTCAGGTGAGGATGAAAAAAAAAAAAATATATATATATATATATATTTTCTTTATTGATTTTAGAGCAAGAAGAAGGGAGAGGGAGAGAGAGAGATAGAAACATTGATGAGAGAGAACATCAGTTGGCCTCTTTCGCATGACCCCCACTGGGGATTGGGCCCACAACCCAGACATGTGCCCTGACGGAATCGAACCGGTGACTTCTTGGTGTATGGGTCGACACTCAATCACTGAGCAACACTGGCTGGCAAGATATCTTGTAGACAGGAGCTGTTATTTTTAAAACATTTAAAAATAATTAATGTTTTTTTGTTTGTTTTTTTGCAATTTAAATGTAATTCATGTTTATTGTAGGACATTGAAGGCTCAGTTAAGCAAAAAGTGGTAAATTTAAGTTATCCATAATCTCACATCTCCAGAGATGACCATTTTTAATATTATAGTGTAGAATCTCTCATATACATGGAAATTTTAAAAACAATAATGAGATAATAGTGCTGTTTCACAGCTTTTAAAACAATTTTTTTTTCTTTATTGATTTTAGAGAGAGAGGAAGGGAGAGAGGGAGAGAGATAGAAACATTGATGAGAGAGAACATCGATTGGCTACCTCCTGCATGCCCTCAACTGGGGATTTGGGCCACAACCTGGGCATGTGCCATGACTGGGAATCGAACCAGTGACCCCTTGGTGCATGGGTCAACGTTCAGCCACTGAGCCACACTGGCTGGACTGTTTCACAGCTTTTTATTTATATTTTGCTTTAATGTATAATTTATATCTTGTGCAGTAGTATGTATTATTCTTCAACATCTTTTTAATAGCAGCAGAATAGTGTGTTGCATAAATTCATCAAAATGTGTTTAACTATTCCTGTTATTATATATTTAGAATGTTTAAAATATTTTACTATATATCAACAATACTTTGGGGGCATTTTTATATATATATCTGAAAATTCTAGAACAAATGATATGAAAAAGCTTAAGTCATTTAATATATATTGTCACATTGCTCTTCAGAAGAGCTTTTTTTTTAAAAACTAATTTCTATACCTACCAGCAGTGTTTGAGAGTGCCTTTTTTCCTAAAAAAAAAAAAAAAAAAAAAGGGAGTTGTTTTATTTTCCCCAGGTTATAAAGGGGAAACACTATTTGGTTTTAGTTTTTATTTCTTTGATTGCTGGTAAGATTAAATGTTTTTCCTTGGACATTTGTATTTTTGGGGAAATTTCCAGTGATTCTCTTTCATGTTTTTCTGTTGGGGTAGATGCATTTTCTTATTGAATTTTCTGAAAGAGATTTTAAGTGTATATTGTAGGAACTGTTCCTCTGTAGTAGATGTTGAATATATTTTTCTTCTATTATGTTTTTAAATGTTTTGGTGGCTTCTGAATCATAAACATTGAAAAGTTTTTATTCAAATATATCACTCTTTCGGTGTAATATTTAGGAAGTTTATTATTAGTCCAAGATTATATTTACCTACACTCTTTTTCTAGTACATTTATGTTTTAGTTTTTAACATTTAAATCTGTTGAAATTTATTTTGTATGTTGTGAATGGCCTTCCTCCTGGACTCAACGCATGGTCTGTCAGGCCATGGCACCCAGTAACTGTCTGACCAGTAAAAACCTGTGAGCGGGTGCTCACACTTACATGTTTTCACCTACATAGTCTGAATTCCTATTTTTTATACCAAGTAGCATCCAGTTGATGAAATAGTACATACAAAGTATGACAGACTATTCCATAGTTGAAAGACGATTTTCAAGATTTTTATCAGAAATTAGTAGCAGGATTTTGGAAGGGGTTTATTTTTACCTGGGTCTTGAGGAAATTTATGCTCCCTAAGCTTGCTATGAGCATGATTTCAGGAATGGCCCACTTAAGAGAAGCAGAAAATTTACATTAATTTAAGTGAAAGAACTTTGGCAACAGGAGTTATGTAATATTATGATTAACAAAAATAAAATGTAGCCCTGGCCTGTTTGGCTCAGCGGTTGGAATGTTGGCCAGAGGTCCAGAGAGACCCGGGTTCGGTTCCCGCTAAGGGCACGTACCTTGGTTGCAGTTTGTCCCTGGCTGGTTGGGTTGTGCAGGTAGCAGCCACTCGATGTGTCCCTTTCACATCGATGTTTCTCTCTCTCTCTTCCTCTCTCCCTCCCACTCTGTCTGAACAAAAAATGGAAAAATGTCCTCAGGTAAGGATAAAAAAATAATAAATAATAATAAATAATAAAATGTATTTTTACCATCATTTAAGTAAAAAGAATATAATGAGTACTATGTGCTCACCAGCCAGGTTTTACTAATATTAACCTTTGCACATGACATTTCAATTTTTTTTTTGTAAAGAAATAGACAATAAATCTTTGAAGTTCCCTGTACCCTGTTCTTCTCTTACCATTCCTCCCCACAGTTACCCACTTGCTGGAATTACTAGTTTCTTGCCCATCTGTATTTTTTGTTTTGTTTGTTTGGTTATTCCTCTCCTGAGGTTATTTTTCCATTGATTTTTTTAG